CTTTGATCTCTCCCAGGCTGGTCCTTCTCTAGTCTTCCCTACAAACCACATTAAGAAAAGAAGAATCTTTTTCTCCATCTCTTTCTTCTTCAAAACTGTTAGACCGTGGTCTTCTTTCAGTGCTTCAGGTTTTCTTTAGCCAACTTTAACCTATTCCATCTTCCCTCACAGACAACCTAGAGCTTCCCAAGAGGAGGGAGGTAGAAAATTAACATTTATTGATGGACATATAAAATACATATGATTTATGCTGATGTTAAAGAAGTGGAACATATAATTCGAGATTGATCATATAGCAGGCTTGTGGTCATGCAGCTGGGATTCAGGGGGTCAGCCCCAGTTATCGAATTGAAATTTAAGTTTAAGCGAACCTGGTGAGTGGAATGGGTATATCTGGCAAAAGTAAATTCAACACCACGTCACCAACAGAGCTGCTTAACTTCTCAAGGCATAGAATGACAAGCATTTGTCCTTAACTTTTGGTTTCCAAAGCATTTTCTTCACAATCTGATCAAATAGGTAATTTTATTTCTGTCTTATAGGACAATGAGACCAAACCCAAAGTGGTTAAAATAGTTGCCTGAAGTGCCAGGTGCCAATGTCTTATTGTTTTTCTCCGTGAGAATCCACATTTGCTCTTTTCTGCAAAGTTAATCCCACTTCTTTATCTAGCTGATTCCTTCTTGTCTTTCAAAACTCGGCTTGCTCATCGTCTTCTTCAGGAAACCCTCCATGGCAATCACCCTCACCTTGTCCCCACTATCTGATTTAGATGCTCTTCCTCTGGGGTAACCCAGATTATAGCCCTATTTGCACTATACCTTACCTGATGATCTATTAGCTTATAAAGAAATCAAGGGGAAATTCCTGCCTCATTTAATTTTGTACTTAATAAGAATATGTTGAGGGGTGCCTGGGTGGCTCAGTCGGTTGAGCGTCCGACTTCGGCTCAGGTCATGATCTCACGGTCTGTGAGTTTGAGCCCTGCATCGGGCTCTGTGCTGACAGCTCAGAGCCTGGAGCCTGTTTCGGATTCTGTGTCTCCCTCTCTCTCTGCCCCTCCCCAACTCATGCTCCGTCTCTCTCTCTCTCTCTCTCTCTCTCTGTCAAAAATAAACATTAAAAAAAAAAAAAAAAAGAATATGTTGAATAAAGGAATGACCTGAGATGGAGTCTTCAGGGAGTCAGCTCTCTCGGATGTTGTTCAGTACTGACTACCACAAAACAAAGATCTCAGCCTGCCAGAGACAAACTCAGATAAAAGAGGATCCTCCTAGAAGGCATGGATCTCTGCATCCAGCGGACATCAGAAATACAAACCGATAAGGTTTCAAACTAGTTAGCAATAAAGCAGCATAACTGTGGTGGAGAGCACAGATTCTGGAGTCAGGTTTCTTGGGTTTGAATCCTGACTCCACCATTTTCCAGCAGTGTGATCTTTGGCAAGTGACTCAGCTTCTCTGTGCTTGGGTTTCTAATCTGTCAAATGTGGATCATAGTAGAACTGTTCTGTATTAGTTCTCTCTTGCTGTGCAACAAATTACCTCAAAACAATGTCTCAAAACAGTAAACATTTATTATCTCACATTTCCTATGGCTCAGGAATTTGGGAACTGAGTGCTTCTGGCTCAGGCTTGCTCATGAGGTTAAAGTCATATAGACGTATAGACCATGGCTGCAGTCATGCGAAGCCTTGACTGGTGTTGGAGGATCCCCTTCCAAGATGGCTCATTCCAGTGGCTTTTGGCAGGAGGTCTCAGTTCTTGCCACAGGGAGCTCTTCCTATATCATGACATCTGATTTCCTCCAGAACAAACGAGAGGAAGAACAAAAGGAAACCTCAATAACTTTTATGACATTTTATGACCTATTCTCAGAAGTCATACACTGTTACTTCCAACACATTTTGTATGTTGGAAAAAGTCACCAAGTACGGTCTCCATGCAAGGGGAAGGCAGTTAGGCTCTACAAAGAATTTGTGGACATATTTTAAAACCATCACATTATCTTGTATGATTGAGTGAAAATTACATGAGATAGTAATTTTGAAATGCTTAGAACAGGGGTGAGGCAGTACATGCTTTGAATGACCTTCCTCATAGGTGAGAAAGGACAAATAACAGTCAGTCTGAAGGCTTTGGCTTTAAAAGTTACTCTAAAAAATAGAGCAAAGATATGGAAACCAAGGTAGTGCCAAAAGCCATTAAAATTATCTATTTGGTTCTTGACATGAAAAGTTGTTCATGAATTGGAATTTGTAAAAAAAAAAAAAAAGCAGGTATAAAGTAGGATATACAGCATGATCTGGTATTTGTGTAATCATATACCTATATCTCTGTGTGTTGATGCATAGGGAGCATTATGGAAGGAGTTTACTCAAAGTATTAATAGTGGTTATCTCTGGATAGTGGGGTTTATGTTAAGTTGAAATTTTTTGTGTGTTTTCCTGCATTTTTTGAATTGTTTTACACTGAGCATATTTCTCCAAAAATAATAGATGCATTTTTTTCTGAAGAAAATTTAAAAGAAACCAGGTTGGAAGGAGGATGTGAAAGGTGGAAGGGTTCGGTTGAACCAGGACACTGCTGCTCTGTGTGGGCTCATTGACTTCCTGTGAAGTGTCCGACTGACAGGATGTCCTCTGATTTTTTAAGGTAGTTGTGAAGACTGCATGTGCTGGGAGCCAGTGAGACTTTGTGGTTGCGCTTGAGGGGCATATATGTAAGGGAAGAGGGGTAGGTTGCTGCTTCTTTGGGACAAGAGGAAAAGGGAGAAGCATGGGGAAGAGGGACACCCGTGTGGGAAAGGGCAAAAATGGGTTAAATCTGGTGTTGACAGCAGAGTATGAATGCTCATCAGTTGTCTTGGTAAGGACGGCTTCACTTACAAAGGAATGGTATACTTATGAAGGACACCTGTGATCCCGTGGTGCCTTGTATATCCTTGATAATTACACTTACCACACCAGATTGAAATTTGTTCAGTTCTCCCTCTCTCAATAGAATCACAAGCAGGGATATCTAGCCCCATTACATAGTTCCCAGTGTAGAACAGGGTTCAATAATTTGAGGAATAAAAATAAATTATTTTTTAAGAATACTTTTCGTAAACTGAAAATTTTTATGTCCACATTCACCTGAATAATTTCTTTAAGTGTAATTTCTTTAAATTAACTAATTAATAAGTTTTTAAATTTGCATCCAAGTTACTTAGCATATAGTGCAACATGATTTCAGGAGTAGATTCCTTAATGCCCCTTACCCATTTAGCCCATCCCCCTTACCACAACCCCCCCCCCCAGCAACCTTCTTTTTGTTCTCTGTATTTAAGTCTTTTATGTTTTGTCCCCATCCCTGTTTTTATATTATTTTTGCTTCCCTTCCCTTATGTTCATCTGTTTTGTGTCTTAAATTCCTCACATGAGTGAAGTCATATGATATTTGTCTTTCTCTGGCTAATTTTGCTTAGCATAATACCTTCTAGTTCCATCCACGTAGTTGCAAGTGGCAAGATTTCATTCTTTTTGATTGCCTAGTAATACTCCATTATATGTGTATACCAAATCTTCTTTATCTATTCATCCATCGATGGGCATTTGGGCTCTTTCCGTACTTTGACTTGAATACTTTCTTATTAAAGTGAATGGAAAGAATACACACACACACACACACGCACACAAAGTCACATTTGCCACTTCTGTTCTTTGTTCATCTTTTCCTCTTTTTCTGCCTTTTGATTATTTGAAAATTTTTATGGTCCTAATATTTTGGTTTATTACCTATATTTTTTCTTACAGTGGCTGTATTGGGCTTATAGTATGCATCTTTAATTTATGACAGCCTGCCTTTAAGTAATGTTACACCAATTCACTTAGAAAATAATCTTGTAACAATATACTTCCATTTCCCTTCTCGTGACCTTGTGCTATTTTTTCCTTCTGCATGTGTTAGGAACCCCACAATACATTGCTATTATTTTTGCTTTAAAAGATTAACTATCTCAAGTGGTTTACAATTTTTAAAAAATTGTATTTACATACATACTTAACATTTTCCGTGCTCTTTATTCTTTTGCATGGATCCACATTTCTATCTGGTATTGTTTTCCTTCTAAAGGACTTCCTTTACTGTTTCTTATATGCAAATTTGTTGGTGATGAATTCTTTCAGCTTTTGTATGTCTAGAAAGTTTTTCTTTTTTTTTTTGTTTTCAAAAGATATTTTTGTTGGGTATAGAATTTTAAGTTGGCAGTATTTTTTTCTTTCAGTACTTTAAAGATAGACTCTACTCTCATCTGGCTTGCATTGTCTCTTATTTTGTTTTATCTTATTTATTTATTTATTTATTTATTTATTCATTTATTTATTATTACATGATAAGTGTACTTTTTAATCTCTACCCTCAATTTCACCCATCTCCCTAAACACCTCCCCATAGCTTGCATTGTTTCTCATGAGAAGCCTGCAACCACCCTTATCTTTGCTCCTCTCCACTTAACATGTCTTCTTTCTCTAGTTTTTATGGTCTCATTGAACACTCAACTTTCTTTCCTTTAAATAAGAACTCTGTTGGGTTCAGCCTGAGTTCCCCTTCCCTCCCCTATGGCCTAGAAACTCTCAAACTGTAAGCTAGGGCATTTATAGGATTCACCTCATTTGTTGTTGTTTTCTTATTTCAGGAATCACTGTTCTGTGTTCCCTGTTGTTCAGTATTTAAAAACCATTCTTTCTTTTTTTTTTTTTTTTTTTTTTCTGATTTTTTCAGTTGTTTAAGGCAGGGGAGTAATTCTGGTCTCTGTTGTTACTCTACTTTGGCTGGAAACAGAATTTCTGAAATATTATATCAGAGAAATAAATACCAAAAACATTAAAAGTAACTATCAATTGCAAAACTCTTCATATTCAGAATTGGTTCATATTTTGCATTAGCTTAGAGTTACAAGTTCGGTTTTAAAAATTTATTTAGTGCCACAGTGTTTGACATCATGTCTTTTTCTTACAGGAAACATTCAAACTGGATTTTTAATCGTTAGTAAGTCAGTGAGAGATCAGAAGTTGCAGAATGCAATCCCGAGTAAAAATCTCCAAAAGAATTACTTCAAATAACAGAGGAAAGAAAATTGAACTACCACCTTAAAACCCTGGTCTAGAAAAACATATTACACATGATAGGAAGTTATAACTGGAGAAATTTATTTGGCTCTTAATGCACCTGAATGAAAGGAATTGTCACACTGTTTCTCAGGACTTGTAGATCTGAGATTATTTTAATAATAAGTTGTTTTATAAAAATCTTGACATGATCAGCAGAGAGAAGAAACAGCAATAGCTAAAACCTGTGTGTTGGTCAAGATGACTTCTGAAGAAATGGCAGCTTCTGTTCTCACACCTGTGACTCAAAGAAAGGTGACATCGTCTCAGTCGGCTTTAGATGAAAGTAGTGAAAAGGTCTCAGACGTCAGTGTTCCGAAGGCACATAGTGTCAGGCAGAGTGGTCAGACTTCCACCATCTCACGACTGAACAAGCTTAAAGAAGAATCCTCTGGAAGCAACTTGCCCGAGATTGTCTCCATAGCAAGGGAGAAGATAATGAGTGATGAGAACAGCAATGAGAAGTACTGGGAGGAAAGCATGCCAGATTCTGTGAAAAACCTCAATATTAACTGCAACAACGTACTGAAAAACAGCCAGTGCAGCCTTCCTCAGAGCCAGTGTTATGACACGTGCGATTCTGTCATGGAGGAAGGCCTGTGTTTGGAAACTGGAATCCCATCCTCACTGGAAAGAAAGGTGTTCCCTGGAATTCAACTGGAAGTGGACGGGCCTCCCATGGACATTAGTCCCTTAGGAAATCAGTCGGCCATCATAGAGAGCGGCCGGGCACACCCTGACGGCGGCCTGGCAGCATTTCACTTTCATTACGAAGTCGACAGAAGAATGTCAGACACTTTCTGTACCTTGTCAGACAACCTGATTTTGGATGATTGTGGTAACTGTGTACCACTGCCTGGTGTTCGTGGGGAGCGACAGAAAAATTATATGGCATATACTTGTAAACTCATGGAATTGGCAGAAAACTGTGATAATAAGAATGGGCAGCTGCAGTGTGATCATTGTGATGCCTTAAACGACAGATACTTGTGCTTCGAAGCTTCTTGCCAAAGGGCTGATGCGGTATGTTCAAGTGACAGCTTTTGCAGGGAGGACTTGACTAACAGTCCACCTGCCAAGACCTTTCTGAGCCATTTTGAGGACTTCCCTGATAATTGTGAAGATGTAGAAGAAGATTTTTTTAAGAGCAAAAAGGAGAGGTCCACTTTGTTAGTGAGAAGATTTTGTAAAAATGACAGGGAAGTAAAGAAATCTGTATATACTGGGACAAGGGCGATCATGAGAACTCTGCCTTCTGGTCACATTGGGCTGGGAGCTTACAGTTACATTGATCAGAAGAGAAGTGGTCTCCTGCTGCCCTGTGGGAGAGTTCTGGAACGGTGGTCAGCGGTGGCAGTTAGGGAAGATGGGAGCTGGTGCCTGTCAGAAGCTCAGTGGTATTCGGTAAGGATTAAGTTTATTTTTGGTCATTTCTTTAAACTTGATCTTTTTTTTAAGTTTAGTTATTTATTTTTAGATGAGAGAGAGAGCGCATGTGCACAGGCACACATGAGTGGGGGAGGGGCAAAGAGAGGAGGACAAAGAATCCCAAGCAGGTTCTGTGCTGTCAGTGCAGAGCCAGATGTGGGGCTCAAACTCAGGAACCATGAGATCATGACCTGAGCTGAAATCAAGAGTGGGAAACTCAAGTGACTGAGCCATCCAGGAACCCCAAAACTTGATCTTTTAAAATCCAATTTTCTGTTGTCTTAATTCATGGAAAGTTTTAGGTTCTGTCAAATTATGATTCTTAGGGGAAGCATTTGTAGTTACTGGAAACTTGTAGACCTAATAGATACGCCAGTCAATAACTGTCAAGATGGAGTTAACTCTACAATGATATAAGTAACTAGATGCACATATGTATGTCATCAGGAGTGCAGAAATTAGGGAGACTCCCAGGTTACTATATGTAGGATTAGGAGACAGACTCCTGATAATGGGAAAGTGGTTCCATTGACTGATTATCTACTTGTGCCTTTGGAGGTACATGCCTATGTCTTCTATATTTTTAGGTTGCAAGGCCTAAAAGAACTTAAGATATGGTTACCTTCATTTTCCAACCAATGTTCCCAGTTTCTTCCTTCCTCACCTTTTTTGTGCCATGGACCCCTTTGGCAATTTTGGTGAAGCCTATGGACTCAGAAGAATGCTTTTAAGTGCATCCAATGAAATACAAGGTGTTATAAAGGACACAGATTATGTGAACATATGTACACTTACCAAGATATCATTTGAAATTATGATATATGGCAGGGTAGGTGCTTCTTTGTTAACACATTAAACAGTGGCATTTAGTGGTTCGATAACTACCATAATTCTGAAGTAGTGATGAATGTCAGTAGGGAGTAGTTTCCCTGGGACTTTCTCAATTTTAGCACTACAAATCCCTCATCCAGGGAAACCCCCTCAGTCCTGGGCAAACCAGGGCAGTTGGTCACCCTAAATATAAATACTCATTTAGGGTTTCAACCACGACTGTATTATATAGACATATCTGTGATTTCTATCGGCGACAAGGTCACAGGTACTGTTCTAATACTGAGACTTGTTGGCCTGTATTCATAATTGAAGGGAATGCTAAATGTCTAACTCTCACATCCCAGTGTTTCACAATTCCTTAAAACCTGGCCTTGTGAATAAATACCCCATCTAGAAAAAACATTCCTTTTATTGAAATATAACTGGTATATTTTTATTGTCATCATCATCAGTCATGGAGCTAATGTTTATTTTGCATTTGACATGTGCCAGACATTGGGTCACATAATTTACATACTTGATTTCATGCAATCCTCTCAACTACCTTCTGATATTAACCCCTTTGTATTGCTAAGAAAACGGAGTCTCAGGAAAGTTATATACCTTGCCCAAGGTCACTTAACTGCTAAGTGGTATAACTAGGATTGTAATCTGGGCAGCCCAGACTCTTAGTTTCTCAAGATCCAGAAAGAAATACAATTGAGAGTAAGCTGTTAAAGGAGCAGAAGGATTCTGTTCATTTCAGTGTCTGTTGATTGAGTAACCACACTCACTGATGCTTATGGTATTTCAGACTTGGCTGTGTTCAATGTGGCGGTTCTAACCCTGCTTATGTGTTGGAATCATAGTATCCAGGCCCAATCCCAGACCCTTGGAATCAGAATCGCTGGGGTAGGGCACAGCAGGAATGATTTTTAGGGTTCCCCAGGTGATTGTATGATTCTGTGGAGTTGAGAACCACTGTCCAACAACTTTGAGCTCTTTGCTCTTTGGGCAGGACATTTAGGGAATATTTGCTGTGTCCTAAAGACCCCGACACTGCGGGCTCTCGGGAGTGGCACGGCTGACCTGGGAGCCTGCCTGAAAAGTGATGACCCTTCTCTCAGGCCCTTCTCTCTGTGCATTCGACCTACTGGTCACCCAGTAAGGGTCGGCAGATTTGTTTTTGAATGTTCATCTGACTCCTTATAAAACCTGAGTCCCAAGCAATGTGACGTCAGTGACACACAGCACCCCCCGCCCCCCGTCCCCAGCTCTTCTGACCAAATTTTGTCCATGCAGGGAAAAAGGAGCTCATCGCAGTAATGTGTCTTCCCAGTTAAAAAATGCAGGGGTTTTAAAAATTCATATACATCTGAAGTTGAATGTTAAGAATGCAACAGAAATTTAAATGCAGCAAAGAGAGTGGAAGCAGATTGTTTGAGAACGGTTATCAGAGTCCCCCAACACTTCTACAGGCATGGGGGTCATGCATCTGCTATAAATAATTGTAGAATAATTTCTGGCATGATCATACTCATTCTCCTAGTTTCTGGAGCACTGCCACTTCTTCCGAGAACGTTCATGGGTCCCTAGCTCCAGTCTGCCCCTTTCTGTCAGTTAGAGGCACTGAGATGGTTCATTTCCAATGAAAAGAACCAAAGAGATGATGCAAATTATCTCCTCCCTTCTTAGTCTCTGAAGGTTGGGAGAGGTTGCCACACCTCGACCAGAGTGAAGACTCTGGAGAAGAGAGAGGAGAGCTCTTCTCCTGGATTTCCAGGAAGCTGTGGCTATTTTTATTAACCTTAAAATGAAGCTGGGAAATGGGCTGACTGTCCTGTCCTTTCTGAAGGGAGAGCTCTGAAAGGAAAGATTTTGAATGTTCAAACCATACCATGGAAGGAATAAATCAGTATTTTCTAAAGTATTACATCCTCTCAGTATCTCACTTTTTAGAGTTTGGTGGAAACCCTTCTCAAAGTTGTCAGATAAATTGTAGCCACTTTCCCCAGCTCCTGTATGTGGCTTCCTTCACCTAAAAAGTGCAGGTGCTAATGCAATGCTCCTGTTCCTATTTTCTGATGAGTTCGCAGGTATCCATCCTGTTTCCCCAGTCAGACTGTAAGTTTCTTAAAGGGCAAGAAATGACTGTACCTTTTTTTCTGCTCTCCACGATGCAAGCATAGTGCCAAGCATATAGAAAACAGGACAATGTCATCTTAGGAACATGGTCTCTGGAGTCGTGTCAGCCTGAATTGAACGTTGACCACTGTGACTCCACCATTTACTGCTGGTATGACCTCAAGCAAGTTATTTGATCTCTTTGCTTCTAATTACCTTATATGTAAACTGGGAGTAATGATGTTGTGACGGTATTAAATGACATGGCTCTGTGAAATAGATAGCACAGTATCTGGCAAGGAGTGGGAGCCAGTATTTTCACTCTGGCAGTTTATTATATGCTTTGTCATGAACGTGTCCCCACCTCATTCTGCCCTTTGAAGCTTCTCCCATGGGGGAGTTTATGGTGGTGTGAATTTGAGTGAATGTCCTTCAGTCTATGATGTGGTAGCTTGTACAGTCCTTCCTACACATTTAAAGAATGTGTTATTTGTCCAGTTAGTTCCTCTGCCTCACATTGAAATTTTTTTCTTGTATGCCTTCGTCAAAATGACCCAATTAATTTATGTTTGCACAGCTGTGCAGTGAAGAATGGATTTGAATGGGAGACATTAATGAGGATTAATGCTTGCTGACTGACTAACCATATTGGTATCCTCCCCCCCGACTTGTGAAAAATGAAAACCCTACTCCTGACCCAGTTACAGCCACACTCCTGCTCTCCATTTATTGGCTCAGTGAGATGGCATATTTTGGCAAGTGGCTGAAGTCTCCAGATTGAAAGTTGGTTGAGGGTGTTTTCCTTTTAAAAAATTCCCTCTCTGCCTGAATTTTGGGGAGTTTAGGGTATTTAGAGTTATTCTGAATATGAAGCACAAGAAGTCCCTGCCTGTGCTGGAATTATTCATGGAACCTGAGTTCTGTGTGCACTGAAGGATGGCGTGTGGAGGAGGGGAGAGTGGCCAGGGCAGACAGGCCACCAGCTCCCGTGTTATCGCTTCATTTGTCTCCCTGCCATGGCCCACGAGAGGATTTACTGTATAAGAATGTGTGCGGCCAAACAGAAAAAGAATGAAGTTTTATTTTTTTTAAAAATCAGACTAGAAAAACAGTAAATTAAAAAGGAAAGTCACACCAGCTTCTTTGTTGCTGGTTCTTAACTCTTCTTTCTTCCTTCTAAAATGTATCTTTCTTCTTCACATTTTATTCTACTCTTTAGCAGAGAGAATTAAACATAAGAGGCAATGAAAACTTTTTGAGTGTTTAACATAAATACCTTCATCAGTATTTGTGTCCTTGAGTTTATATTTTCTTTGTTATGTGTCGAGGGATCAACCAATAATAAATTTGTCTTCCGAGTGGTAACTTTTAGGAATGATCAACTATCCGTTGAGTCCTGCTGTCCAGTGTTGTAATAGATGGCTGTTGAAATAGCAACATGTTTTATTTTCTCCTCTGGAAATTTGGTCTCTCTGCAGATTGGGTACAGTGTGGACCTTGAAATAATTAAAAATTTCACAGTGTGTACAGACTAAGCTGAAAGCCTGGGCTTGGTAGCATGCCAGGCCTCCTCTTCCATTACTAAGGGTTATGTCAAGTTCATGACATGGGTATAGGACGATGCTGGCCCCTTCCTGCTGAGCACAGTGAAAGGGAATCCAGATCCCGGACAGACAGCCCCTGCACAGTTTAGTCACGTCTGGTGCATCAGTGGAAAATGTGACAGGCTGTCAGAAGCTGACTTTGTGATGATTGGACAGCTTTCCCTTATTAGCTGCACTGGGGCAAGTTTAAGATAAATTCACTTCCACATCTCAGTAGTTACACCAGCTCTTTGGCTAGGATTTAGCAAAAAAAAAAAAAAAAAAAAAAAAAAAAAAAAAAATATTTTCCGCGGACTCTAATTTATGGTGAATATATTATATATTCATGGCCACTGTTATTCACATGGTAGCCTTAGGACACTATCCACACTAGGATTTTTTTTTTTTTTCCTTTTCCCCAGATGTCCTGAATAATGGGAATTAGCAGCCAGAGAG